TTTGACAGAAGTTTTGCTCTGTCACCAGCGTGGAGTAGCAGTGTGCAATCGTTAGTTTCACTGCAAGCTTGAACTCCTGGTTACGTGGACCCTTACACCTCAACGCTCCAAATAGCTGGATCAGGATGTGTGGCCACTAACTGGTTTAGTTTCTTTTGGTTTTTTGTTTGTTTTGGATAGAGATCGGGTCTCGTTATCTGTTGGCGCTAGGTCTGCTTTTTTTTTTTTTTGTTTTTGAGAGGGAATTTTGCTCTTTGTGCCGGCTTAGGTGCAATGGCACGGGATCTCAGCTCACCGTTAATCTCCACCTTCCAGGTTCAATGGAGTTTCCTGCCTCAGCCTTCCCAAGCCTAGCTGGGATTACAGATGTTGCACCGATGCCTGGCTAATTTGATATGTTTTAGTAGAGATGGGCGTTCACCAATGTTGGTCAGGGCTGGGTCTCAAACTCACCGAGGCTCAGGGTGATCCACCTTGCCTCAGCCTCCAAGAAGTGCTGGAATTACAGGGGTGGAGGCCGACGGCTGGCGATAAAGGATTTTTTTAGTTTTATTTGCTGTATTTGTATATTTATTTTGAGAAGGAGTCTTGCTCTGTTCACCCGAGTCTGAGTGCAGTGCACGGGAGTCGTCAGGCGTCAGGCTGCACGGTGCCGAAGGCCTCCCGGGGTTGGCGAGAGCGCGAATTCTCGCTGCCTCATAAAAAAAAAAAATTAAATTAAAAAACCCCGAAAAACCTAACTGAGTGACTCAATCTACTTGGATCCCTGTCTTGGCTTGTTTTATCAGAGGGGTGATAACAGGGACAAGGAGTCCTTCACAGTGGCTTCCAACATCAGTTAGCCAGATGAGTTAATGGGAGAAGGTACCTGTTTCCATATCTCTTTTGACACTTGCTAAGATCAGCAAATAGCTTTATCTGGAAAAGAATTCTCCCTTTTGCTTTTCCCTCCCTTTCTTACTCTGATAGCTTTCATCTTCATCTTCTTCATCTCGGTACTGAATGGGACCTTCTGAATCAGAGTCGCTCTCCTTCTCTTCTTCCTCCTGTACACACTGTGGTAATTTAGAAATGACTGAGGTAGATGTTATGTCTTCACTGAATGTGGATGGACAGGTTTGCTCCTCCTCTTCTTCATCGTCTGGACTAACAAATTAACATAATTATATTTTCTTTTTAGAAACAAAGAGGATAACTGACTTTTAAGACAAAGGACTGAAATGAAGTCTGGGCATAGTGGCTCATACCTGTAATCCCAGCACTTTGGGAGATGGAGATAGGGAAATTCACCTGAGGTCAGGAGTTTGAGACCAGCCTGGCCAACATGGTGAAACCCTGTCTCTACTAAAAATACAAAAATTAGCCAGGCA